CCAAAACCCCAAAACCCCAAAACCCCAAAACCCCAAAACCCCAAAACCCCAGACTCCTCTAATAATTTATATTTCCTTTAAATAGCAATGGCTACGAGAACGATGAAGCACAAGCGTAACAATACCTACCTTTTAGATGAGGGGACTTCAGTAAGGTCAAAGAAAAAGCCATTTAAGTTCAATATTGGAAAGGTATTTTGCCTTTTAAACTGTCTCTTTTTGAAGGCATTATTATTGCATTTCTTCACTATTTTCTAATAGAGCCATCCTAGTTCGTTACAGAACAGTCTTAAATAAGAGTTTGGTCAAGAGTTATGAGAAGAAACCATCAATTTCAAGCAAGAAAGATTGCATTTACCTAGACAACTTTGAGTATAATAATCCCAATGATTTGGAAGAGCTATGTATAGCACTTGAAAATGAAAGTGAGGATCATTATTCCTACCAGTTCACACACCCTATTGATAAAGATTTTGAACCTCTAAAGCATCTCTCACCTCTTGAGAACAACAGGAATCTTATCCAGCATAATTTATTTACAAGGAAGTTGAAGCATGAGAGATTTTGTTCGTATAAGATTAGGTTCAGCACTCATTACTCTTTTGATTATACTATTGGATACCTTGAAACATACTTTGAACCATCTGATTCCTCATGCGTGATGGTTTCCAGACTGTATATATTCAAACTTTACCGTTCAAAGGCATATGTAAAGAAATTAGTTGAGAGTATTTTCAAAGAGCTTTTCATCAGAGTATACCAAGCCAGTACTTTAAAAGTGCTAACCTTTGACACTGACATGTACAAGAGATATCTAATGGATTATGGCTTTAAATATTCTAATACTTTGCCCTCTCGCAAAGGGGAAGAGGCAAGACATGTCTATAAGATTGACAGGAAAGACATCCGCAGAGATAAGCACTCTGATGATAAGTTTGTTCAAGATATCCTCAAATATATGAAGAAGAGAACCATACAGAAGAATTATGTAAAAGGAGCAGCTAAGAAAGACATTTTAAACAAATGTAAGGATTTTGAATGAATTCTAGATAATTTAGTAAGAAATGTTAATAATACGCTTGGGGATGCAAAAATTAGTATTACAAGCTCCCCAAATCCTAAGCATCGGAAGTACTTGAGTAGGAAAAGAGAGGTTAGATATAGGTTCACATCCTGTTTCAATGAACAGAGTTGATAGCACAAGTATCTCATCGTCCCAAACTCATGATTCTATCAGAAAGACACAAAACATTGAAGCTATGAAGGTTACCAGACAGGAGTCAATTCTTTCAATAATGAAAAATAGTGCAAAAAGAGATACATTAAATGCAAATCTGACTAAGAGACACAAGGTACTGCCTTTGGTGTGTAACTTTTATAGCAACTTACTAGAGAGACTCATTTCTCAAAGTCAAGTAATTTCTCAGGGTAAATGCACAAGGTAACCTCTAGCAACTCAATCCTATCCAAGGATTACAACTACTATGAGGCTAAATAAGAGAATGGAGATGTTTAAGGCAAATCAGAGTAATATCCAGAAGCACAAAAGTTTAGAGAGATTACCTTACAAAAACTACTCTGATTTCCCAAAAGAGCCTTCTTCCTTCAGCCATTTCAGGTCTAAAGTAACTATATAACCCTAATCCCGAGAATCTAGCGTACAAGTTGGCAAGGAGGGTCTCTGAGGGATATAATGAGCCAAGGGAGGTTCCTAAACCAACCAGTAATTTCCCTGACCTGCTCTCATCGAACAGCTATGAAGACACTAGTCTTAGCCATCAGAGCCTGAACGGGTCTTTCCACGAGAGGTTTTCATCAACTAATATGAAGAAGAAGGGGCTTAGATACGATAACTCAACAGGTAAGATCAGTTGGAGAATATGGTCATTGGAATAGATATAGGTGGGAAACAGGGCAGAGATCAGAAGAATTCTTTGTTGAGGGAATATTGGAATTGAAAATAACTTTCAACTACTTTAGTCATAGCTGGGGTTTTGGGGTTTTGGGGTTTTGGGGTTTTGGG